AAAGAAAGACCTGTTCAGCGAAAGCAGACGAAAGGTTGGAAATATAGAGATCTTTATTTGACGACCTGACGCGTGCGCCTTTCGCAGCCTCAGCGCCCTGCCGCTTGCTCTGTCCCGACCGGTCACTGCTCAGTTTCTACCTGATTTTTCAGGTGTACGTTCAAGAGGAACGATTCCGTCCTAGCCTCTTTGCCGTTTACTACAAATAAAGGAACATAGTTTTTTTGCTGGTTGCCAGGTGTTTGGCTCTCGGCATTTGGCCAGCTGCTGTTCTTGGATTCTGGCGGTGAAATGGTGTGCTCTCAGTGCAAACACCCGAGGATCTATAGTACATCCTTTCTGGCTAGTCGCACCAGGACACGTAATTCTTAGCTGACTTTTCAGCATACGCCGGAATTCGGCAAGACGTCTTTTTTCCCAAGCCAGCTGGTTTTAGATAACTTCCTTTCCGAGCCCACGGTTTCTTGTCGAAGGACTCTTATTGTTTGATTCTGCCGGACATGCGAAGCAATACTCAAAACTCAATGCAAGGAGTTAGCCGCGTGAATCCTCAAGGACCTCAGCTTCCTGTACCTCGATACTTTTGTTCCTCCTTCAGAGCGAGGTTACGATGAAGCAATCACGTTTCAGTTAAATTACTCTGATCGAAATCGCACACAGATCAAAAGGGTGTCAAACCTTACCCCAAACATAATTCATGTGACGCAGTTTTAGGTGACGAGATTAACGAATTAAAAAGGATCTTCGTAGTATTATTGCGGGATATTTCTCTAGTGATATCATAGTGTTACTGTCATGGATTAATGCCATTGCATGGACCTTTCTCACATTTGTGGAAAATCGAATGGCAGTCAGAAACTAGACTCAGTGGCTTCACGTATGATCGGCCAACAAATTGGCTGTCGTTCTCTCCCGAACGAACAACACAAAAAAATTTGGCGACAATAACTTATGGTTTTATGGTGTGGTAGTATAATATCCTTTTTAAAAAGAACAAAACGACTATTGTGCCAAGAATAATCGGAGAAGGGATATACAACTGCGGGCAGAGCATTTCAATTAGTACTATATTACTGAGTTTCTGCTACAAGAACAACTGCGGGATAAAAATTCTTACCAATCAATAATCCTGTGAACCGGTCAAGTAGCATTTTCTGCAGACCTCAAACAGCTACGGCGTTTTTGAAAGGAAAACAAAAAAAGCAATGTCTCAAACGTATAACGGTCCAATTGTAAGCATCGAAAACTTCAAGAAGAAACTAAAGCATTATTCACAACTGTGTGAGATGTAACTGAGCAAGGCCAAGACTAATGCAATAGATAATACTAAATCTGCCAGTGAATGCCAGTTACTCCAGGACTCCCATTTAATGTTGGCTACTTCTGTGGCCCCTTTTGTATATAATATATCTAAAATTTAGAGAGAAGAGACTAAACAAGATAAATATCATTTACATTTAATAGGGCCCTAAAAACTTCCCCTTAAGCTTTAATCCGACACCATACTGAGTTCTCTTAATTGCTACCAAATCATTAAGATGATAGACTCTTTCTTGTTTCCGCTTCAAATCAAACGCTTTCTTATTTTCTTCTTGTACCTTTTTGATGTTCTCTCTGGCTGATTGGCGAAACATTATTCTTTCTTCATTTCGATATTTTATAGCGAACTCCTGCATCAAGTCCTTCTTTTTGCTTTACGGCGCCTAAACTGGGATGCAAATCTTATCTTACCTTCTTATTCTAGTAGACTCCTTTTGATTAATTTACCATCCCTAGCCAACCGTAGAACGATGCTTGGTACTATCTTTATTTATAACCTTATACATGGTGATATTGACTGCCCCGACTTGTTAAGTCGGCTAAACTTTTCTGTGCCAAGTAGATTAACTAGAAATTATATTCCCCTAATTTTAAATCATTGTAGATCTAACTAAGCCTTGCATGAGCCTTTCAGAGTATTATGTTCTGACTATAATAGACTTTTTCCTGTAATATCAAATCTTGACTCTCTGCCGCTCCTAAAACGATTAATACTTGCTTCATTGGCACAAGATTGATCTAACTATTACTTTTTTCCCCGGACCTTTACCTTTATTTTCCTATCTCGCGTCTATCCTATCGCGAATCGTGCCGTACGATACACGGCTGCGCCCCTCGGTCGGTTGGGCGGGTAAGTGGGCCGTGGGAATCCGCGCGAAAAAAAAAAAAAAGTCCTTTAGTTCATTGCAGCCGGATAACCGCATATCAAAGGCGTAATCTTGGTGCTTCTTGTCTCGGTGCTATTGATAATTTGCTGAACTAGTGCCACGTATTAATATCAAGCTAATGGATTTTCATAGCTGAACATTGCTAGCATTGGTTCGACGGTCTTGTGAAGTCTTTCGACTTGGCCATTTCCGCGTGGTACACCTGTCGCTATAAGCAGATGCTCTATGTTGTGTGACTCGCAGCATTCCTTGAATACGAAAGATGTGAAAGCAGTGCCACTATCAGACACTATGCGACACGGATTTCCAAAATGATTTTTTTATTCAGACAGTTTAGAACTTCGTCCTTACCAGTGCTACGAGTTGGGTAGAGCAAAACTTATTTCGAGAACCCGTCTACTATGACAAGGATGTGATTATATCGCTTGGTCGTCATTTCCATTGGCATGAAGTGATCGATGTGGTATGTAATGAAGGGTAAATCGCATTTGTCAATTGAAGTTAGAAATCCCTCTTTCTTGTGGTGGTAAAACCACTCTTTTGTGTGGATTTATACAATAGCTCGAATATTGGCTGTTTTGGCTCTTTATTCTTAGTTCATCTATTAATTGAATAAGTCACTGTTTACTAGTTTTTCTTGCTGAACTAGTTTTACTAGTTTTTCTTACAGTTACAGGCGTCTGAATCTGCTGTGCTGACTTATTCGATCCATAAGTCTAATGCCGACTTTCTCTAAGATTTTCGAGATCTAGTCCAGGAGCAATTACAGACCACTAGTTTGGTTTTAGAAGTCTACATAGTGCTCCTGAATTGATTGATGCATTGTGTTTTCTATTGTATTCTGAAACACTTTGAGACGAAAAAAATATTATTGCGGAGTATCTTGGATGTGAAGCAAGCCGTTGATCGTGTCTGGCACTGCGGCATACTCTATAAGCTAAAGTCTATACTTCCTCCAACATACTTTCTTCTCCTTAGCTCATTTCTTGTTGGCAGAACCTACCAAATGGATGTTCGTTGTTCAAAGCCTACAAAGCGACCAATACATTGCTGGAGTCCCTCAAGAAAGTGTGCTGGGCCCTGCTTTGTATACTATATACACGTCAGGCCTTTCTTCGCCCAGAAGCTTACTTACACTGCCACACGTTACAGAACAAGATTTCTCTTACATACAAATAGATTTGCCCTGACACAAACAAACAAACAAAAAAAGACTAAAAAGATTACATCCATTTGACAATTGGATACTTGGACGGCCCTCTATTGGGAGACTTATTCCTGACTCATAGTCTGAAACATTACCCAATATTGTAGTTGGCCCTTTTCCTGTAAACGAACCTACACAAAGCTCACTATTAATAAAACTATTGGTTTTTGAATATCACAAATAGAAAGTGGCCCTAATTACTTCAACATAAGGATCGATCCAGGTCCAGTCGATGTTCATAATTCAAAATGATTTCACACAAAGGAACTCTCTCATCATCTACTTCAAGTTTTTGAACATTTTCTGCTACATTAGCGTTCGTCTGTCGAGGTTACTCAGTTAAATTGAATGGATTTTGTATATTCTTGTTAACTTATTTATATACTCGTTGATCAGGATTAATTATATTATATTTTATACTTTATTTTGCACATTTACGCAAATACTTATATTTTCGTTGATTTGCTTTCTCCTTAATCGCACAACTGAAGTGTGTGTGAAGCGCTTCTCACGAGATGTACATTTGCTACATTTAAGTGGACTTGCCCATAAGCTCGTCGTTACTTCATTTATCTTTGCTGCTGCTATGCTCATAGGCCTCGTCTACCTAAAACGATTTGTTATCTATTTGTATCATTTTAAGTGTTTTGAGTAGATCTGTAGAGTTACTTCTAATATGGCATTGGCCAACTTAGCGGCAATACCTATTTTAAGACAAATCAGAATTCCTTTAGCCAAGGGTTTGATGCCTGATCGACAGCTCTTTTTTTCACATGACCCGATATGATTCGCTATGTCATGTGTTCCATCATTAATAGGGTTTACCATGTCGCGGAATCATTTACCATCTAATAACATAAAACCGTCTGTCATGCCGGTGAAGTCATTAACCTTTCGTTTATCTCAATACAAATGGGTCACCCTTAAGTTATTTTTATCGAAGTCTTCCAATGTTTCTGAAAGCTGTGAGATCAAATGGCGCTTCATATTTTTTTGGTCTTTCCGTTCAGATTCGCTTCACACATTTTACAAATTTTCCACGGCTTGTTTCAACTACAACATAGAGCATATTTAATGGATATCACAGAAGCCGAACAAAACTTTGCTGTCGCGCAAAGATCACACAGTCGAACGATACACATAAGACTCTTTTGCCGAATGTGACCGATCAAGGAAGTCCCTTAAAGAGTAAAAAAAAGAAAACAAAAAAAGAGTTTTGCTCGGAGCGGAACATCTGTTAAGCATCAAAATTTTTTAATGTGTTTTCTTTCGACTCATTCTCAATGTGCCCGTATATGTTCGGTTTCTCGGATACTTTGAAATGGTTGACAGTTTTTTGGGAGCTCTTCAAAAAATTCTTTCAGTCTTAATGATAATTAAAAACAATGCTTATGCTTATACATATATATTACTCTGTTTTTTAGTTTATAAACATGGGAGTAATTCATTTTAAGTAAAATTAGGGCTACTTTACCATGTACAAAGCTGAATTAGGTCTTCCACGAACATTTAAACATACAATATTTTAAAAAGTAACAAGTTCTTCCAAATTTACTTTAGCTTTTTTCTCCGTAAAATTATTTCAGCCTCATGCACTTGTTCGAGGGAGGAATCCTAGAAAAGATGACCACTGCCGAATACGCGGCACAGTCCCGCAAGATTTCCAAGGATAACGTCAGGCAATACAATGAGTTGGCAGCTACGGAAAACGGTAAAGCCAGTGGCAATGGAAGAAACACCGAGGTTCAGAGCCGAAATCAAAACAACGATCCCGATATTATCAGTCCACTAAGCCTCCGCATGCTGCAAGGGGCTTTTATCGTACTAGGAGTAGGCGGACTAGTTGCAGGTGCTTTTTTCTGTTTAATTATGAGCTAAGTTGATTTTTATTCTTGCCCAGGAACTATTCTGCTGTTAGAGCTGCTCTTTTGTGAAATTAATCTTGGTCAGAAGCGTTTATAGGTAGGATGGAGCCCCTGTATACGCCTTCAGCGCTTTGTACACTGCGAGACTACGTGAATAGTTCTACCTCATTTGCTTAGTAACTTAATATTTTTTCTGCTCGTAGTAAATTCAAGAGTGTCTTTACCAGCTTATTTCATATTGTGTTATGTGAATTTATTTAAGTATAAGAACAGATCCAAAACAATCTATACAATGTTTTTTCTTGTTTGACTTAATTTTTAAAGGGTGGAACCTGTATTAGGAATTTGTATGGGAGGTGGTAGACGCCTCGAGACGGGTGCTATTCGATGGTGGCTACTGATCGTAAAGGTTTCCGCACAGTTTCCAGTCGTCTCGTTTGCTTCCTTACGGGGAAACAGTAAAGGGATCCGAGCGTAACGCGAAGTTGACGACCCGATATGTACTTTAGGACGCCGCCAGGCGGCCTGGGGTGGCGATAGGGCCTACTACGCTGCTTAGCGCGAAACCCGTGAGGATCCGGTTTGCGACGCTCTCTGGTGGCAGTACGAGGTACTGAGAGGGCGATTGCACTGCTTGGTGGGGAACTGGGAGGAGTCTCGTTGAGAACGCCATCTGGTGGCAGAACGGGGTACTGAGAGGGCGATGGCACTGCTTGGTGGGGAACTGGGAGGAGTCTCGCTGAGAACGCCCTCTGGTGGCAGAACGGGGTACTGAGAGGGCGATCGCACTGCTTGGTGGTGAACTGGGATGACTCCGACTGGAGTTGGCTTCGGGGACGGCGGGGTTTATCTACCTCCGGGTGGACTCGGAATCTAGGGGCGTCCTACACTCCGGATATCCTCGGAGTCTACGAGGTTTCTAACCTCCGGATAGTCTCGGAGGCTAAGAGGGTTTTACACTCCGGATATTCTCGGAGCCTGCGAGGGTACTACACTCCTGTTAATCTTAGAGCCTACAAGGGTACTACACTCCGGAAATTTCTCGGAGCCTACGAGGGTATTACACTCCGGTTAATCTCGGAGCCTTCGAGGGTACTACACTCCGGATATTTCTCGGAGCCTTCACGTGCGGGTGTGCCGGTCGAGATGTACAGGAAGGGAGCTCGGTGCACTGGTCGGTGTTGCGCGGATCTCTCTCTTGGCTCTCTTGCCCAAAAGCCAGCGAGAGAGCGCTCTAGAGCCAGCCGTTCTCTTGCACGCATACTGCGACAGCCGACGACTGTATGTGTGCACATGTATTCACAAACATTTCTTCGCTGCAGCGCGCTATCGAAATATACTCTTTATTTTAAATTCTAACATTATTAAAAATACTTATTTTGTATGTGATAATTATTCGAATGTGGTATATTTTTAGTAATGACGAAATATATCTACGTATATAAAGATACATAATTTATTTCATACGTAACTTAACATTGGAATAATTGTCATTAGGGTATGCGTGCGACGTGTGAACGATTTTTAGGAGCCTCAGAAATTTTGCGATTGAACAGGATGAATATTTTTATATTTATTGTATTTTAAATATACGGATTTAAAAATATGTGGTATTTTTATATCTTACATATTACAATAACATTATATAAAATTATTATCGTAATATAAAATAAATTTATATAAGTATTTGTATATTAACTTTTTTAATTATTTAGAAAAAAGAAAAATCCAAAGGGGAAACAAAAAAGGTTCGCGCGCTTTTCTTTCCAAAAAAGCTTCAAATCAATTTTAAAAGGCACAACCAAATTTTATTTTCATACAAAATACTAAAAATAGATAACTTTTATAAAATGTACTTGTATTATATTTAAATATATACATAAGGTAGCTAAATTTTGAAAATTAAACCTACCCAGTAAAAATTTATAATAAATATTTGTATATGTATTTGTATATTAACTATTTATGTATAAAATATACTAAATAATTAAAATAGTTAATATGTTAAATATTCTATTAAATTGATTAAATAATTTAAGTAGTCAATATATTAAATATACTATAGTATACTATACTATACTATACTATACTATACTATACTATAAGTATGAAAATATTTAAATGCAGATTGATAATATTAGATATGATGTTATTCGTATTTACTTTAAATATTTGAAGTCATTAAATCAAAGTTTAATATATTTGAATTAAAATTAAATTTAATATTTCCATAAATCATTAAATCAAAGTTTAATATATTTTAATTAAAATTAAATTTAATATTTCCATAAATCATAATATCAAAGTTTAATATATTTGAATTAAAATTAAATTTAATATTTCCATAAATCATAAATCAAAGTTTTATATATTTGATTAAAAATTAAATTTAATATTTCCATTTTAAAGTTAATAAGAAACAGCCATATAAAAAATAAAGCGAAACATTTTTAATTAAATATCCTTTAAATATATCCAATTTAAATAAACTTCGCTTTGTTTTTGTTTAACAATCATATTATATACAAATATATTAACTTTATTGGTATATTTTTAAATTTAATCAAGCAGTTTTATATGTATTGTACTAAAGCTATAATTAATTAGCTTTAATTTAAATATTTAAAACGAAACTATGAATTAAATATGCAGATATTCGTTTTTAAGGTATATAAAAAAGCTTTACATCAAGCTTCATTGCCATATTGCAATTCTATTTTTAGATTTTTACGCTCTCAACTTTGTGCGAGTGGAGAGAGCGGAATTTTCGACGCCACCAAAAAACGGGCTGCATATTGCAAAACCAATGTATGGCCGTTATGCATCTTAGAGATTATATTGGTCTTTGGTACAGGCGTACGGGGGACGGCGGGAAGGTCACGATCGGGTCATCGGGTGGCCGATACGGTGCTTCAATCTGGATCATCGGTCCTTGCCCATGTACACGTAGTGTGCCGCGCCTTCCTGTGGGTCGTCGTCGTACTCCCGGCTGCTCATTGAGTACGCATCCTCGCTCCCGTTGTCGCTGGCGTCCTCGACAAAGGGACCCAGTTCCCCGCGTCCTTCCTCGTCGTCGCTGGAAAATACATAAATTAAATAGAGACAAGACACAAGTGAAAATAAAAGACACAATTAAGAGAAAAGCAAATGAGTTAAAATATTAGTTTTTAATAACGGGATAGAAGTGGAAATGCAAATTAGATGATAAAGGTTGTTATAAGTATTGCATAGAACGCGAAAGGGCTCGTGCAGATCCCAGTTCAAACTACGAAGGGCAAATAGAAGAAATTTTTTTTGTACCGACTCAATACGGTCAATGTGCACTTGATATTGTGGACTCCAAACCGACGAACAATATTCCAAAAGGACAGACAAGGGAGGTAAATAATAATTTGGTCGTATAAGGGTCATCAAATTCTTTTGACCAACGCTTTATAAAGCCAAGAACACTCATGGCTTTATTAACAGTGGACATTATGTGGCAGTCAAATTTAAGTTTAGGGTCAAGAAGAACACCTAAATCGTTAACTGAATATATACGGTCGAGTAACGTATTTTAAAGAAAATAACTAATAAACGTAAAAAAAAATGACGTTGCATTTAAGGTAGTTCAACTTTAAAAGGTTGTACTCACACCATTCATGAAAACAATCAATATCTGACTGTAAGTTAAATCCGGACGCTATATCATTATATGATAAACAAAGCTTAACATCATCAGCATACATTAGAAAACGAGAATGTGTTATGATAGAGGGAAGATCGTTGATAAACAAAGTAAACAGCAAAGGGCCCAGATGACTTCCCTGAGGGACTCCAGATGTCATGTAGATCAATTTTGAAACAGAATACTTGAATATAACCCTCTGAGTCCTACCATTCAAGTAACTTGAAATCCAAGTTAATAGATTACCAGGAAACCCAAGCAGATCTAATTTGAATAAGAGAAGAGAGTGGTTGACGGAGTCAAAGGCCTTACTAAAATCTGTATATATAACGTCAGTCTGCATTTTTTTCTGAAATCCATTTATTACAATAGATGACAATTCAAGAAGGTTGGTGGTGGTCGATCTTCGCTTAACAAAACCATGCTGACACGGTGATATAAGCGAGGAACATAAATGTTGCAAATGAGAAGTGATAATACGTTCAAATGCTTTAGGAATTGCCGACAATTTGGAAATACCTCTATAATTCTTGGCATCAGCCTTCGCACCCTTTTTATGAAGTGGAATAATAAAAGAGTCCTTCCAGATAGTAGGAAAAACTGATGATGAAATAGACAAATTAAAAAGTTTAAGAATCGGTTTACAAATGGTTGACGCACAAAACTTGAGCACACATCCAGGAAGTCCATCTGGACCGGGAGAATAAGTCGGCGTTGTTGTTTCTAAATCTATTAAGAGAGAGTTTTCAGTAATTAAAGGGGTAAAAATACAATTAGCCCTATTTAAGGGATTAGGGTAGTTAGAATTTGACCAAGCTGTCGAACTATAAGTGGTTTGGAAAAACTCAGCAAACAAATCAGCAATGTCAGAATCCGTCGATGCCTCCATTGAGTTTAGACGTACCGATAAAGGCAATGCCGATGACTTACGCTTGGCATTAACAAAGCTGAAAAACTGTTTCGGATCATTTGAAAATTCAAATTTACATCGATTTAGATTATTTCGAAAAATCTAATGTCTTACCCGATTTTTTATACTTTTTTATAAGTATTTGATTTAAGGTTTTTAAGTCTTTGAAGCGCATTGGTAAACCAAGGAGGCCTGTTTAGGTCTAAAGGAAACCTATCAGGAACGCATTCATTAAAAAAAGTATTTAACACTATATAGAATAGTTCAGTGGCACTTTCAATGTCTGTACAATTGTACAAGTCTGTCCAATTATAATGAGAAATCATATCGTTAAGTTTATTATAGTCACATTTACGAAAACATCTAATTTTAGTTGGCGACACTAAAGGAGAGAGGGTATCAGAGCAGGGGAGGCAAATTGTCAATTCCATTGTTGGATGATATCGGTCTTCAGGTACAACAAGAGCGTCAATTCTACATACCGTGACCTCGGACGGGTCTGAAACAAACACAAGATCTAATTGTCTATTTAAAGAATTTCGTGTAAAGCTTACTTGCTGTAACGATAATTCTAAAAGGCCATCAACAAAATCATGGGCGGATAAAGGTATAGCGACATGTGAGTCAGTGGGAGGAGACCAAGAAATATCCGGTAGATTAAAGTCACCCAAAACAATCAAAAGGTCTCTGTTAGAAAGAAGGGATAGTACGGATTTTATTGCGGACAGATGGTGCTCATAAATTACTAGATGCCAGGTGGAATATAGGAACATGTAACAAAAATAGATAAAGATTGCAAGGAAACTTTCACACTTACAAATTCAATTTCGTTTGGGATATGAGTGAGAATTCTTTCGGATGTTAGGCTTGAGGTAACAGCAATCAGTACACCGCCCCCCCCTATGTGAGGGGCGATCGGTCCTATAAGTATTAAAGTTATTTGAGAGAACTTCAGAGTCAGATATCTCTGAAAATCGAAATTGTTCAACTGCAATATCCTCGGATGGGAATTTTTCACGTATAAATTCCAAAACATCCTCAGATGTGGTATCTGGGGTGAATCTAGAAACAAATAATTGCTTCCTTTGTGGAACAACTGAAAGTTTCTTACGCCCCCAAGCAGCAGTCTGAACCACACTGGGCTGAGAACCAGGAACGGTGCCTACTGTACCTGTAGGTACGGTCGGCAACGAATTCTTTGACTTAGCCAGTACTGTAGATTTTATACTGGAAACAGAGGTACCACCCGAACTAGCTGTATCCATAGGCACAGTTGGTTCATTTACCCCTGTGTCAACAGAAACTGCTGCTACCAAGTTCGGATTTGGGGTGGATTCCACAATCATATTAACGGCGGTTAAACTGGCTTTTTGCGTTTAGGCGACTCGGTTAATAATTTTTTATTATTAAACTGGGCACAGACGGAATTGAACCCCTCATTGAGTTGTTTAAAAGCTCCTGAGATATTCAATAGGCTGTCTCGAGTCTGCTTCATAAAGCCGCTCATCTCAACTACCATTTCCTTGCAGGACCCACATGACCACATTGGACCAGAATTAAGATCAATGAAATCTTTGACTCTGTCAGTAAATCCTGCACATTTAACGTGCATCATCGAATCGCAGAGCCAGCAAAAAATAAAAGGGTCTTTAGTTGAAGACGCAAGAGTACAATTTTTTTTAGAACAGACAAGAGACATTGTAAGTTTAAAGCAAATAAAAAAATAGGAATATGAAAAATACCTCAAAGTAAATTTGGCACTGGGATCAAATCCAGAAACCACAAGGGGACAAAACACGAAAAAAGTAAGAGCGCGAGATCACTAATTAAATCGAATAAAGAGAGCACGAGAGAATAAATTTTATATCGACTGAGCGTGGCGTGTGCAACACAACAACTTTAATCAATAAACAAAGGCAATGTAAAGCATGCAAGAGAGAGACAGAGTTAGAGAAATAAACGAAAAAGTCTACCAGAAGTTCATAGAGAGTAAATTACAGTTATAAAATAGAGCGGGAGAGATTGAGAGGGAGTAAAAGAGTTCTAGCAAGTATAGAGAGCGTAAATTACACTAACAAAGCTACAAGGTTAAACAAATCTAATAAAAATGTTAAAACAATTATAAGCACATACCCGTTTACTATGATATCTATTTAAAATTTCTAACACAGATATTAAGTTAAGCTTTGTAAATAAATAAACACAAAACACTCGCACAAAATCACTGAAAAAATACAAAAACTCAGAGCACAAAGGTAAACTGTTCACAAGCGACGCTAAATCGTATTGATACATAGCAATAGGGATAAATGGGCATCAGCGAAGGAATCTCAGAATCGTAAAGTCTTAATGGTTTACAACGAATTTAAATTTAGCGGGGACACAAAGGAAGATTGAGGTACTTATGATCACCCCCCGTTGCTAGTGTCGGTCGGTTGACCTCTTTGGGACTGTCCGTGTTGGTCGCCGGGGTCCTCAATGGTGGTTTCGCTGTCTTCATCGTCGGTGTTACCTGTGGAAGAAGAATGGAACGCTTTTAAGTCTCCAAGATTTGCAAGTCGCCCCTTCCGCTGGCCGGGTAGGCGGATTCGGACGACGTTAGGCGACGGGAAAGCGACCACTTTATACGGTCCGTCAAACTTTGGGGCGAGCTTCGCTGCGAACCCTTCTATTGCTTTCGACAGATCCCATTTCGGGCTTCCAGGTTCGTCGACGCAGGTTATAATGCCTCCCCTGCTCTCGGCTGGCTTTTTGTAGGTTGTTCTGCACGATCTGAAAGACCTCCTCAAGCGCTCCACTCTCTCCAATGGGCTCTGGGGCGATGTTGCTGTCTGAGGGTCACGCTGTCGCTGGGCTATACCCGGTCGATTCTGAGACACTTGTGTTGATCGCGATTGACAGTTCTGGTAGCAAACTGTCCCAGGTGATCTGTCCATTCGCCACGTACTGGGCGATCATCGTCTTGACTGTGCGATTCGCGCGCTCGGTCGGATTCTCTCGTGGGCAGTATGGGGCGGTGAATTGGGGTTCCACTCCCGTTTCCTTAAGGAAGTCTTTGAATGCCTTGCTGATGAATTGTGAACCGTTATCGCACACCAGTTTCCTCGGTGCTCCGAAATGGCTGATGATCCGTTCGCGGAAAGCTCGTATCAGAGTCGCGTGGTTGCCTTGCGTAGGGGTATCAACTCAACCCACTTGGTGAAGGTGTCGAAAAAGACGAGGAGTATGGTATTCTCCTCCTTAGAGCGGGGCAGCGGTCCGACGAAATCCGCACACAGTATGCCAAAGAGTTCACTGATCTGTCTTGTTAGCATCTTTCCGGCTTGTTGTCGCTGTTCTGACTTGTATTTCATACATTGACGTACGTATCGTCGCACATCGCGAAACATCCCTGGCCAGAAGTACTTCTGCGAGATTCTGATGATGGTCTTTCTAACGCCAAGATGTCCGGGTGTGGGTGCATCATGGCATTCATGTAGGTTCGAGCTCGATGTTCGGCTGCTACGCACAGCTTCCACGGTACGTAGTCCTGGTCATCTGGACGGTGGCCGAGGTTTTTATTGATGAAGTCGGGGAACTTCTGTGGGTCGCCTCGACCGTCATTCATCTTTCGTTGCAGCCACTTGCACTGCTGCTCGCCTTGCGTAAGTCTCTGTAAGTGCCCCAGAGGTTATCGGGATAGAGCGTCGGCTACAACGTTATACTTTCCGCGGCGGTAATGTACGTCGTATTGATATTGCTGGAGTTCTAAGGCCCATCTGACAATTCTTCCGGTTGGGTTTTCTATTTGGTCAAGCCATTTCAGGGCCAGGTGGTCGGTGATTACGTCGAATTTCCGTATTCGCCAGACAATGGCCAAGCATTCTTTTTCCGTAGGTGAATAATTCAACTCCGCGGCATCGAGCTTGCGACTGACGTAGGCAATGACTCGTTCCTGGCCGTCGATCTCCTGGGTTAGTACTCCCCCGAGTCCGTAGTTGCTGGCGTCAGTCTGGAGTGTCATCTTGACGGAGAAATCTGGGCATGCCAGCACGGGTGCGTCTGTCAGTAAATTTTTCAGGAGATCGAAGGCACTCTGTTGCTCCGGCTCCCACTTCCACCGTTGGTTTTTCCTCAGCAGGTTGGTCATGGGCTGGACCACTGAGGCGAAGTTGGGTACGAATCGCCGGTACCATGAGGCCATCCCGAGGCATCTCCTCAGCTCCCGTAAGCTCGTGGAAGGGCTCAGGTTTCGTACGGCGGCAACCTTGTCCGGATCGGTGTGGATGCCCTGGTCACTGATCACATGCCCGAGGTAGGCCAGTTTCCTCTTGAAGAATGAGCACTTTTCCTGGTTGATGCGCAGGTTGGCTCTCCTCAATCGTTCAAAGACTTTGCGCAGACTGTCCATGTGTTCTCCTAGGCTGGCTCCGATGTCAATAATGTCATCGAGGTAGGCGAAGGCGTATGGGTCGAGGTCTGGCCCAATCACGTTATCCAGAGCACTCTGGAATGTGGCCGGGGCCGAATGCAAGCCGAAAGCATGACTCGCCGGACGGTCTCGAACTCAGTGGCCAACTGACCCAGTTCCACAATGGTCCTATCCAGCTCTTGGGTTTCGTTGTAGCCCGCATGGCGCATGAGAACTCGAAGATCTAGCATAAAGTCTTTAAACGTTTCCCCTTTCAGTTGCTCACGACTCCGAATCTGGTCGTCCAAGCGCTGGAGGTATCGGGGTGGAAGAAAAAACTCGAGGAATTCGCGCCGAAATGTGATCCAGTCAGCCCCTTGGAGGCGCCTTGCTTGGAACCATTTGTCCGCTCTGCTCGTCAGCAGCTCTGCCATTGCTCGAGGAAGGAGTCCTTGGTCGATCCCGTAGGATAAGGCCCGGCTTTCGATCTTCTCGACGAAGGCTAAGGGGTCTAAATACCCATCGAATTGGAAGCCCCATTTACGGATTCACTCGGGGACGCAAACGACCTCGCGGCGGTTCCGGTCGTGGCTCGGCTCCATACAAGTTTCTTGGTTAGTGATCACATGGGAGGGGCGAGTAATAGCGAAGCTAGGGGTGGTTCGAGACGGGCCTACAGAGGAGACGCCGAGGCTTGATCCGGCGCTTCTGTTTGCGGCGGGGCCGCTAAGGCTAGGTTTTTCTTCCCCCAAAGGTACGGGGCTCGGGGCACGTGAGGTAAATTGCCTTTATATACAAGGGTGAAACGTGTAGTAAGAATTTGTATGGGAGGTGGTAGACGCCTCGAGACGGGTGCTATTCGATGGTGGCTACCGATCGTAAAGGTTTCCGCACAGTTTCCAGTCGTCTCGTATGCTTCCTTACGGAGAAACCGTAAAGGGATCCGAGCGTTCCGCGAGGTTGACGACCCGATATGTACTTTAGGACGCCGCGAAACCCGGGAGGATCCGGTTCGCGACGCCCTCTGGTGGCAGAACGGGGTACTGAGAGGGCGATCGCACTGCTTGGTGGGGAACTGGGAGGAGTCTCGCTGAGAACGCCCTCTGGTGGCAGAACGGGGTACTGAGAGGACGATCGCACTGCTTGGTGGTGAACTGGGATGACTCCGACTGGAGTTGGCTACGGGGACGGCGGGGTTATCTACCTCTGGGTGGACTCGGAATCTACGGGTGTCCTACACTCCGGATATCCTCGGAGTCTACGAGGTTTCTACCCTCCGGATAGTCTCGGAGGCTAAGAGGGTTCTACACTCCGGATATTCTCGGAGCCTACGAGGGTACTACACTCCAGAAATTTCTCGGAGTCTACGAGGGTATTACACTCCGGTTAATCTCGGAGCCTACGAGGGTATTACACACCGGTTAATCTCGGAGCCTACGAGGGTACTACACTCCGGATATTTCACGGAGCCTACGAGGGTATTATACTCCGGCTATAATAGGAGTCTACGGGGTTTCTACGCTACAGGGATTCTGAGATGGGAGCTCTCGGCCGAGATGCGCCGCGTGGGGGGGGGTTGGCCTGGCTGCTGCCCTCACAATGGTTACCTTTGCTTACGTGAAATCTGATGCACAGTTCGGTGTTGCTTGGATCGACGCGTTTGTATTCGTAGTAGCGTAGCGGAGGGACGCTCGAGCACACGTCCACTCTCGGCGAAAAGTCAAAAACGAAAGAGGCCGAGGTTAGATCAGAGATCGAACTTCTGTTGAGTGTCGCGTTCGCTGAACCAGCTCCCCGCTATCGATTGTGCTATCGATCGCGGGCCTCACGCTTGGTCCAGGGTGTGTGTCTTGGCTCAAAAATTAATACTAGTTTAATTAGGTTTTTTCCTTACTTTCTATTATTTCAATTTATAACATAGGACTTTATGTCCGATCTTAAAGCTAAAAACAAAACTTATGACTACGATTATAATGATTATGATGTCTAAATATATTTATTATAATTTTTATAATAAGACTTTAGGAAAAGCAAACTGTCAACTGATCCTGGCTCCAATCGGTTTCGTTTTTCTGTAATAATGTTCCCATGCAATGAAAAAGATCGCTCAGCTGCCGCACTGCCAGCTGTCATTGAATGTATCTGGATCGCTAGTGTTGCCAACAAGGGGTATTTATTTAGCTTATTTTGCCACCATTCAATTAAACTAAATTTGTAGTCTATTTTAACGAATTCCTTGCTATATTTTTCAAGTTCGTCCTCGGGCGGTTCTTGGATTTCCAAGTTTGATTGTCTTATTAAATATTTCATCAATGTTAACTAGGATATTCTCCTTTAAAATCGAAATTGAGATAACATCTTCAGAATTTGGCGTACAAAGGCTTTGAAATTTTAAAATAGATGGATGAACATAACACAACGATGGGGAACTACAAAGTTGGTGTTTCTTAAAAATAATTTCAAAATTTTCACACATTTCAACCAGAGCTGTAGTAGTGTTTATATTTAAAAAAAGCTGGCTGTGATCATTATTTTTTAAGATTCTGTTCATTTCACCCCAATTTTCAATTTAGTGCGAGTTCCACCTTGTCGGACATTGGCTTTTAAACAAAGTAGGTATAAGATGCTTTCTGAAAATATTTAACTACCTTTTTGCACGATTCTAAGATACCTGTTAGCTCCTTGGTGCCACACAAAGATTTGTCTAACACATTCGAGAATAAGTGGCTGCTACAGTTTAAGCGAATATTTTGTTCCAAAGCTTTGACTATATTGGAGCCTCTATCAGTAATAAACTTAATATTATCAATATTTTGAACATTCAATTCCGTGAACAGGCTTTTAAGTTTTCGCAAGACATTGTCACCTGTAGATCTTTGGAAATCTATTGATTTCATGCCCAAAACAATATCGAAAAATTTAAACTCCTTTTGGTAATGAAATGTAACGCCTAGAAAATTCCTTTTCACTCATGTCCACATGTCGACTGTAGCTGAGGCTCCGCTGCTTACAATGTTAATTATTTCGTCTTTAATATTTTGTTTTGAAAAAAACCACCAGAACCACCGAACCGCGTAGACGTGTCTTTTTGCTCGCCCTGCCGAAAGACTTCCAAAAATCTACAAAGTGACCACCAAAAATAAGAAAAATAGCGAAAAGACGCTGGCAGCAATGCCATATCCCATATCCTTGCGATTAAAACTAAATTTAAAACCGATCTAGCTAATTAAAAACAATTAAAAATGTCGAACGCAAATAAAATATTAACAAGTGCACCCGGTAAAGCCACGAAGCCTAGTCGCGATCGGCAACAAATACAACTAGACGAACGACTGCTGCCTTCTGCACGGAACAATGCTTACATTTTAATTGACTCATCGGAGGCAACAACCAAATCAACTTCACTGACCGCCACCGAAAGAGCCCGCTCACTGTCACCAGCGATTTTATGCTCAAGCAGCGCTGCCGTTACTCAGTCGTGGATGCCCGTCACCTCTCTCTCTCATCGATGCACCGACTACTTCGGCTTGTGCGCCCACCAGCACTGTACCCTCTCTTACTACAGCAACGTCAACGACAACAACAACTTTAACGTCTGCGGCTACCCAGTGGCCTATCTCAACACCACAAGTAAAACTTAGCTCTACTGACCCTCTTACGAATAATACTCTCTTACAGACGGGGATCGATCGGTATGTACAAATAAAAAGAAAGCTTAGTCCTCAAAAAAACGTAAACTCAAATTTGCCAAAAGTACCGAAAACTTTAGGCAACACACGAAGATCCGAAAACAGATTTCCCATACTTGGCGAGACCGAAGAAGACAAGGATCAGGCGCCTCAAGCCATGAAAGCTGTAAAGCCACCGCCAATATATTATATATTAGGAAACACAACAGTGTCGATCTGATCAATAAGCTTAAACAAGTAATCGGGCCTAACCACTTCTATATCAACACCCTAAAAAGAGGAAACATATTAGAAGCAAAACTCCAGGTTAACAACGAAGACAACTTCCGTTCTGTAACAAGATATCTCGACAATGAGCTTATAAATTACTAACTACACTTACCAACTAAAAAGTAAGAATGTACCCCTTTCTTACTTTTTAGTTGGTTGTTGTACTTAAAGGTATAGAATCGACTGTTGCGGTAGCAGAAATAGCTGAAGGCCTCACGGAAAAAGGCTTCGACGTTAAGCACATCTGGAACATAGTAAACAGGGATAAAATTCCTCAACCACTGTTTAAGATTGAACTAGCCCTAGAGACGAAACCTCTAAAAAAAATGCAGTGAATCCTATTTACAATCTGCAATATCTCCTTCACCGAAGAATCACCGTAGAGGAACCGCATAAGCGGAACGCCCCCGTACAGTGTACAAACTGCCAGGAGTTCGGGCATACAAGAACCTACTGCACCCTGCGACCAGTTTGTGTCGCCTGTGGAGATTTGCATTGCATTGAAGCACGCCTGGGAAACAAAGAAGCCCCTTCTCTGAGGAAATGCAGTAACTGTGGGGGAAATCATACTGCCAACTACCGGGGCTGTCCCGTCTACAAAGAACTCAAGAGCCGCCTAAATCAGAGACGCAGTAATCCATTCGCCGCTCAACACTCTGCCCAACCAAACATCTTCACCCCATCAACCACTCCTGGTGTCTCCTTTGCCAACGCACTCCGCTACCCTGGAATCTCACAAACATCTACCTCCCAGACTGCAGCATCGCGTCCACAGCCACCCATACCAAACCTAAATGATTTTCCGATCTTAAGCCAAAATGGCCAAAAAACAACTCAACCTTCTACGCAGCAAAACCAAACTCTTCCCCCACAAACACTAAGCGGTCTAGAATCTACAATAGCTACTCTTGCAAACGTCATGATGACGATTTAAAGTTCCCTTCAAGAACTACTGCGAAAACAGAGTCTTCTAATGGAACTGCTGATCAAACAAAAGTCTGTATAAATAGACTCCTTAAGAATATGCTTCTGGAACGCAAAGGGCGTTTCCCGGCACAAAAACGAACTCCTACAGTTCCTAAACAGCCACAATATCGATATCATGCTACTTTCTGAAACCCATCTAACTAATAAAAACTACTTCCATATCATCGGATATATATTCCACGCGACCAACCACCCGGACGGTAAAGCACACGGAGGTACCGGTATACTCATAAAACAACGCATAAATGATGATTTCCCTTGGAGACATTCGCTACTAACTACCTGCAGGCCACATCCCTACCTAATTGGCGGCCCACTTACCCTATGCGCCATATATTGCCCCCACGCTTCAGTATTGCAGAAAATGAGTTCATGAATTTCTACAACTCACTAGGACGCTGCTTTATAGCTGCCGGTGATTATAACGCAAAGCATCCCCACTGGGGATCTCGTCTTATCAACCCCAAAGGCTGCCAATTATACAACGC